CTTGCCTTGTTAATTTTTGCTATTCTAACTAGTGTAAGGTGATATCTTAATGTGGTTTTGATTTGTATCTCCTTGATGGCTAATGATGATGAATATTTTTTCAGGTGTCTGTTAGCCATTTGTATATCTTCTTTGGAGAACTCTCTGTTCATGTCTTCTGCCCATTTTTAAAAACATGATTATCTGTTATTTGGGTGTTGAGTTTGAGAAGTTCTTTCTAGATCTTGGCTATCAGCCCTTATCTGCAGTGTCATTTGAAAATATTGTCTCCCATTCTGTGGGTTGCTTCTTTGTTTGTTGACTGTCTCCTTTGCTGTGCAGAATATTTTGATCTTGATTAAGTCCCAAAAATTCATTTTCACTTTTGTTTCCTTTGCCTTTGGAGACGTGTTCTGAAAGAATTTGCTGTGGCCACTCTCAAAGAGGTTACTGCCTATGTTCTCCTCTAGGATTTTGATGAATTCCTGTCTTACATTGAGGTCTTTCATCAATTTCGAGTTTATCTTTGTGTACGGTGTGAGAGAAGGTCGAGTTTCATTCTTCTACACATAGCTGTCCAATTTTCCCAGCACCATTTATTGAAGAGACTTTTTCCATTGAATATTTTTTTCCTGTTTTGTTGAAGATTAGTTTACCATAGAATTAAGGGTCCTTATATGGCTCTCTAGTATATTCCATTCATCTATGTGTCTGTTTTGTCCTAGTACCATGCTGTCTTGGTGATCACAGCTTTGTCATATAGCTTAAAATCAGGCAATGTGATGCTCCAGCTTTGTTTCCTTTTTCAACTTTTCCTTTGGTATTTGGGGTATTTTCTGGTTCCATAGAAATTTTAGGATTGTTTCTTCCAGCACTTTGAAAAAAGGCCAATTTTATTTTGATCAGGATAGATATTTTGAAAGTATAGATTTCTCTGGTATAATAGAAATTTTAACAATGTTTATTCCTCTGATCCATGAGCATGGAATATTTTTGTCTTCTTCAATTTCTTTCATGAGTGTTCTGTAGTTCCTAAGGTATAGATCCTTTATATCTTTGGCTTGGTTTATTCCAAGGTATCTTATCATTCTTAGTGCTATAGTAAATAGTAAATAGAACCAATTCTCTAATTTCCCTTTCTGTATTTTCATTCTTTTTTAAAATTTTTTTTTTATTTTTTAACTTTTTTTATGTTCAGCATAACAATATTACTTGTTTTTGCACCACACCCAGTGCTCCATGCAATCCGTGCCCTCTCTGATACCCACAACCTGGTTCCCCCAACCTCCCACCCCGCCACCACTTCAAACCCCTCAGATTGTTTTTCAGAGTCCATAGTCTCTCATGGTTCACCTCCCCTTCCAATTTCCCCCAATTCCCTTCATATTTTCATTGTTAGTGTATAAGAAAGCAACTTATTTCTGTACATTGACTTTGTATCCTGCCACATTACTCAATTGCTGTATGAGTTCTAGTAGTTTAGGGGTGCAATCATTTGGGTTTTTTATATGAAGTATCATGTCATCTGCGAAGAGAGAGAGTTTGGCTTCTTGTTTGTCTATTTGAATAACTTTTATTTCTTTTTGTTGTCTGATTTCTGTTTCTAGGACCTGTAGTACTATGTAGAATAATAGTGGCAAGAGTGGGGATCCTTGTCGTGTTCCTGATCCCCAAACCAGACAAAGACCCTGTCAAAAAGGAGAATTTCAGACCAATATCTTTGATGAATATGAATGCCAAGATTCTCAACAAGATCGTAGCTAATAAGATCGAACACTAAAAAGATTCTCCACCACTGCAAGGTGGGATTTACCCCTGTGATGCAAGTGTGGTTCAACAGTTGCAAATCAGTCAATGTGATAGAACAAATTAGTAAGAGAAGAGGGTAGAACTACATTGTCCTCTCAACTGATGCAGAGAAATAACTTGACAAAATACAGCATCCCTTCTTGATTAAAACTTTTTAGAGTATTGGAATAGAGGAAATATTCCTCAATTTCATGAAATCCATCTATGAAAAACCCACAGTAAATATTTTCAATGGGGAAAATCTCAGAACCTTTCCCATAAGATCATGACTTTTGGTTTCATCTCAGGTCATGACCTTGTGGTGGTAAGATCAAGAGCTTCATGGGCCTCCAAGCTCAGTGTTGAGTCTGCTTGAGATTTTCTCCCTCTCCCTCTGCTCCTTTTGATCTGTTCTTTCTCTCTTAAACAAACAAACAAAAAACAAACAAACAAACAAATCTTTAAATAAAACATTCCATTTATTCAAATATCTTTTTCCATGTAGACACCTCTGGTAGATATGTGTTTGATAATAAGGTCTGTCAGTGACTACTGTAAACAATGAGACTTACAGACTGAGCAGAGAACAGGAATCTAGCTAGAATAAAACCCATGAATTGTTATAAAACACATTACTATGCTTATGAGGAAGAGCAGTGAATGTAGGGATATACAAAAATGACAGACCCAAATTGAAAAACTGTGGTCTCAGATTTATAACAACATGCCATAATGTAATGTAACGTAATGTTACATACATAATGTAACGTAACGTAACGTAACGTAACATAACGACACGACAACAGCAAATAATGGCCTAGTGGCCAAATGGAATTTTTTCCATCATGGTGGTTAACACATGACTATTCTTTTAGTAAAACTAAAAACATATTTGTGCAGTGATTTTTGTCCTTTAGGAAGAAATGAATCTTAGGAAATTCAAGCAGTTCCATGAGATAAATGGGTATTTCTAATTTTTTCATATCAAAGGTTGCACTTCTAGGCATTCTCCCAAAGGGTACAAACATAATGATTTGATGGGACAGCAACACCCCAGTGTTTATAGCAGCAATGTCCATAATAGCCAAACTTTGGAAAGAGCTCAAATGTCCATGGACAGATATATGGATAAAGATATTATATATATATATATATGTATGTATATATATATATATATATATATACACACACACACACATACATACATATATGAAATGGAATATTACTCAGCCATTAAAAAGAGAAATCTTACCATTTGCAGTGATGTGGATGAAACTGGAGAGTATTTTGCTAAGTAAAATAAGTCAATCAGAGAATGGCAAGTATCATATGATTTCATTCACATGTAGAATTTAAGAATATAAGAAACAGAACATCATAGGGAAAGGGAAGGAAAATAATATAAGATGAAATCAGAGAGAGAGGAAGAGAAACCACTGAGACTCTTAACTATAGGAAACAAACTGAGAATTGCTGGAGGGGATGTGGGTGGGGGGATGGGGTAACTGGGTGATGGGCATTAAGGAGTTCCTATGATGCAATGAGCACTGTGTGTTACATGCAACTGATGAAAAACTGAACTCTAGCTCAGTAATGATACACTCTTTGTTAGTTAATTAAATTTCAATAAAATAAAATTTCTAGGGGTTCTGATTTAGAAATGGTTAGAAGACATAAATAGACACTTCTCTAAATAAGGCATATAATGGCCAACAGACTCATGAGAAAATGCTTCACATTACTTCTCATCAGGGAAATACAAATCAAAAGCACAACGAGATTCCACCTTATGACAGTTAGAATGGCTAAAATTAACAGAGCAGTAAATGTCAGTGAGAATGTGGAGAAGGGGAACCCTCTTACACTGTTGGTGGGAATGCAAGCTGGTACAACTACTCTGGAAAACAATGTGGAAGTTCCTCAAGAAGTTGAAAATAGAGTTACCTCACAACCCAGTAATTGCACTACTGGGTATTTGCCACAAAGACATAGATGTAGTGAAAAGATGGGGCACCTGAAACCCAATGTTCATAGAAGCAATATCTACAATAGCCAGACTGCGGAAGGGGCCAAGTTGTCCTTCAATAGATGAATGGATAAAGATGTAGGTCATATATACAATGTCATATTACTCAACCATCAGAAAAGAGAATACCTGCCATGTACATCTTTTGGATGGAACTAAAAGGTATTATGCTAAGTGAAATATTCAGTAAGAGAAAGACAATTATCATGTGGTTTTACTCATATGTGGAATATAAGGAATAGCAGAGGATCATACGGGGAGGAGGGAGAACTGAATGGGAAGAAATCAGAGTGGGAGACAGCTTCAGTGACTTTTGACTCCAGGAAACAAACTTAAGTTTGCAGAAAGGGAGGCAGGTAAGGGGATGGGATAACTGGGGGATGGGTATTAAGGAGGGCACATGATGTGATGAGCACTGGGTGTTATAGTCAAGTAATGAATCATTGAACACTACACCAAAAACTAATGATGTACTATATGTTGGCTAATTGAACTAAACAAACAAACAAACAAACAAACAAAAAACAAAACAAAACAAAAACCCTAAATTAAATTTAAAAACCCAAATTTTGGGAATAAATTAAGAAATAAAGGAAGAAAATGAAGTGAAAAACAGTTGGATATCAAAGAATGGGAACTGTTTACTAAAATGCATAACTAAATTATACTTAGAAATTGAAAAAATTAAAATTCTAAGAAATAAACGAAACAAGCAAGTTCTACTTCCAGAATCTGCTTTAAAAAATCATAGCTTCTGACTCTAAGGCTTTGAGACCTGCAATTAAGGGAAATTCTTCAGTCCCAGGACAACTGGCCCTTTGATAGCTGTCATCCCAGAGAATCTCATCAGAACTCGTTTTATGTCTCTGTTCCTCAGGCTATAGATGAAAGGGTTCAGCATGGGTGTGACCAGCGTGTACATCACTGAGGCCACTGCACTTGCATGGGAGCTCTGTGTAACAGCAGAGCTAAGGTACACTCCTAGGCATGTACAATAAAATAAGGAAACAACTGAGAGGTGAGATGCACAGGTGGAAAATGCTTTGTACTTCCCCTCAGCTGATGAGATTCTATGTATACAGGAAACTATCTTAGAGTAAGAGTAAAGGACCCCAGCCAAAGGAGCACCACCCAGAAGCATAGCTGCAAAATACATCACCACATTATTGAGAAAAGTGTCAGAACAAGCGAGTTGGATCATCTGATTGAGTTCACAGAAAAAGTGGGGGATTTCCACCTCTGTACAGAAGGACAGCCGCAACACCATTGAAGTTTGTAAGAGGGAATGCAAGGCACTCGTGATCCAGGATGCCAGAACCAGCAATGCACAGAGCTGAGGGTTCATGATGACTGTGTAGTGCAAGGGTTGGCAGATGGCCACAAACCTGTCATAGGCCATCATGGCCAGAAGATAGATGTCCAACCCTGAAAAGTTTATGAAAAAGTACATCTGGGTGATGCAGCTTGCATAGGTTATGACTTGGCTCTGAGTCTGGATGTTCCACAGCATCTTTGGGACGGTGGTGGAGGTGAAACAGATGTCTGCAAAGGACAAGTTTACAAGGAAGAAGTACATGGGGGTGTGAAGATGGGAGTCAGAGGCAATAACCAGGATGATGAGCAGATTCCCAAACACAGTGATCAGGTATATGGAGAGGAAAAGCCCAAATATGAGGGTTTGCAGCTCTGGTCCCTCTGAAAATCCCAGAAGAAGGAATTCTGACATCGTTGTATCATTGTTTGGTTGCATGTGCTTGCACTGAGTTTTCAGGAAAGAGGAAAAGATGTCATTAATTTTCACATGAATAGCATTCCTCACATGCTTAAAATGCTACATTTTATATTTTGCAGTCAAGAAGTTAATTTCAGTATCTTGTTTAGGTATTGCCTTCCTTGAAGTGATTCCCTCCCATTCTATCTCTGATTAGGCTTTTTTTTTTTCTCCTTTTCTCCATTCTTCACAGAGGTCATTCAGTCTACTGTTCTATTGAGAATATCTTTTGGGGAACCTGGGTGGCTCAGTTGGTTAAAGATATGACTCTTGATTTCAGCCGAAGTCATGATCTCAGTATTTTGAGATGGATCCCTGCATCAGACTCTGCTTTTGGTATGGAGTCTTCTTGATGTTCTCTCTCTCCCTTGCTCTCTGTTCTCCCTCCATTCACACACATACTCTCTCTCTCAAAAAATTATCTTTCATGCATTCAAGGAGTATGTATTGAGTGTCAAACATGTTCCATGTGATGTGTAATCAATGAGTCTAGGATCCTTAAAATCAAAAGCCAGTATAATCCAGTGATGGAGAAAGAACAGAAAAAAATAAAAAATATTAATAATATATGAGAGGGTATCATTTCTATAAAGAGAACAAGAGTAAGTATCAAGGAAAGAGAGGATATGAGTGTTATTTTGTAATTAGTGTTCAGTTAACACCAGTAAATTAGGTGACATTTGAAGAGAAACCCTAAGTTAGTGAGAGCAGGATCCTTGGACAAGTCTGGGGAAGTGTGTGCTGGCAGAAGGAACGGCCTCTGTAGAGGCCCTGAGGATTATATTACCTTGAGCTACTCGAGGTAAAAAAAAGGAAGTAAGTGTGGGAAGGGGAATGAACAGGAGAGCGGTCAGAGATGGTGTCAGGCAACTTCAAAGAGATAGGTGACTTCACTGTAGTTAAACTCCAAGAAAAAGGAGTCAACAGTCCACAGTGCATACTTTTTGTATTTTATAATCTACTTGCAGAGGTGTCCTGTAAATTGAAATGCAGTTCCTCCCAATACCATCTGGTGATTGAGTTCTGACTTCTCTATTGTGAGTCACCTTGGAATATATTAAACTGTGAACCTGAGCTCTGTGGACTCTTCTCACTCCACAAGGCACATGCACATGTGTGTGTGTGCACACACACAGACACACACACACACAAAACACACCCAAATTCGTTGTCCCTTGGTCTGTGTTCTTACTATGACTATTCACTCCCAACCCCAATGATGAAGTTGGAGTGGCTGTAACTTATGTTGGCCAGATCAATTATCATTCCTCTAAACAATGAAAATGCTACCCAACATTCCAGTTATTAAACTTCTCATGGATAAATAAAATTAACAAATCAGACTGGCATGCTCATTTTCTGTCCTGTATTTTTAAGGAAACACAAAGAATCTCTCAAAAAGCAGAGAAAGGGAGAGAGAGAGAGAGAGGATCTAAAGAGGGAAGTCAAACAGAAATGACAAAAAGATCAAATGGTTCAGGTGGTCCCTGAAACCTTAGAGACTAAGAGGAAGAAACCACCCTTTGTCCTGACAACATTTTAACTCTCGTTATTTCCCTGATGCCCCTCAAAATAATAGAAGGACAAAATTAAATCCATCCCAAAGACAAAGGTAGTGGTATCTTCATGGTGTCATTCACCTTACAGAATGAATGAACCTAGAGAAGAGTGTGCTAAGGGGAGAAACAAGCACTTCAGCAGAGGAAACAGGCCAAGTACAGCATAGTTGGACATGGTAAGATGAACTAGGTAGAGACTTGTTTCTCTGCACCTGTCACATGTTTGTTTGACTGATTGGGTTTCCTGGGATCTATGAGGGGGTGGGGAAATTCCCTTTCCCTTTCCTTATGTTACATCCTTTCTTGGTTTTTCCTTGGCTTTGCATTCTGATCTTTTTTGACATTCACAATGGACACACTCTGATCCTTTTCTGGTCTTTGCACAACACCCAAAGCCCATTCAGACCTCACTCTAGCAAGTTCAGCACATGTCATGATAATCTGTCCTGTCTCTAAATGAATGTCTTCATAAGATTCATGCCCGAGGGTCCCATATGACACGCACTTATGCCATTATACCATAACTTCACCATCATTATGTGAGAACAAAAGGAGCAGGGCCTTCATAGACAATGTTTAGTATAGGTTTTCAAAATGGGATGTGGAGTATGCACACATATGGAAATAAATTTGAGAAAATGAGATGTTCTGGCCTAAAAACACTGGCAGTGACACTGAAGACAGTTATGTAGAGTGGTTTCATGAAACCGTGTTAGACAAAACTGAATGGAGCTTTAAAATGAACTAAGATACGATGTGCAATAGTAGTAACTGAAAAATGTCAACATGGGTCAGCAATTTACTTAACAAAGACCTTGGTGTAAGAATATAGCATAGAAATTCGCTAGAACTTACTGACCTGAGCAGATGTTCTGTTCATATTTGTTCATTGAATCAGGAACTAGGTTTCAGAGCACTATGGACATTTCATATATGTCAAGGCTTTATATCAATTTATTTGGTAAAGGTTGTTCCATACAAGCTGGCACACATATTATGCATCTGGAAGAAAATAAATTTGTTCTTAATTTCACATATCTTAAATAATTCAGAGGGCTTACAGACCTCTATGTAAATGAGAAATGCTCATTCAGGTGAAGGTGTAAAATACTATAGATACAAGTTATAGGTGAACAAAACCATTTTCATTGCAATTAATGCAATTAATTGCAACTAATGTAATTATTTAGATTAATTACATTAATTACTGTAATTAATCACATTAATCACAATTAATTACATAATTACATTACAATTAATTACATTAATCTTCTGATTAATTAATTAGAAGACAGACATATTTAGCTATATAAAATTTAAAACTTTTAATGGACAGTATATCCAACCAAATGTCAATGAAGAGCTTGTTCTAGGGAACATGGCAGAAGATTAGGTGACCTTTGTTTCATCTAGTCCCTTGAATTCAGCTAGATATCTATCAAATCATATTGAATACCTGTGAACTCAATCTGAGATACAAGAAAAGAATTGCTGCAATTCTACAAATAGAAAAGTGACCACTTTTTGCAAGACATGAGGTATGGAGAAATGAAGAGATGCATTTGAAGGTAAACTGTGGGGGAAGGGAGCCTCCATAAGCTGGCTACTGGAAAGTGATATAGCAGTGGAGTGCAAAATTGGAACTTCTAGAAGTCTGCTCCTGTGAGGGATATCCTTGCCTGAAAGGTGCTCAAGTGGTTAAGTGGGGTAGAATCTCAAGTGGGACAATGTGTTCTGAGAATCCCTAGGGTCCCACAAAGAATGGGGGTGACTGAGTGAGACAGAATTCCCAAGCATTGAAGTGGGGAAGCCAGCTACAATCAGCAAGCCCAGGAGTGGGCTTTCAGCTCAGTGTTGCCATAAACCAGGAACCACAGTGGAACTGGACAACCACTGTCTGAGAAGGGGGCCAGTAAGCAGCAGAACTGGAGTGACAGCCTTCTCCTTCCCCCAGGAGGAGTGGCACAGATGCACACTACAGGAGTCTGCAAGGTTTTGAGACTTGAAATGGGGTTGCATGACTGAGATAGAAATGCACGATCACAGTCTGGGTGAAGACAGAGTGTGGATGGAAACCAGGGAGGCAAAAATGATTAACTGCTTTTCTCTGAGGGCACACTGAAGAGTGGGAACTGAAACTTTTCAGTCCTGGGGCAGGAGAGTGGGGTGCTACCATTTTTATTTTCAGCCTCTGAAACCGTGTGGGAAATCCTTCAGGTAAAAAAAAAAAAAAAAAAAAAAAAAAAAGGAAAAAAAAAAGCCATATAGAGCAACCTGCAGCCATTTACACTGAGTCTGGCCTCTTGGCAAAGGTGTTACAACTGGACTGGGCAAAGGCATCTGAGAATCAGTGCAACATCTCCCCCAGAAGACCAGCAGGAACATCAAACTTATACAAAGTTTACAGATCACACAGAACTGAACATTTCCCCAGTGCTAGGGAAAATACTGTATAGAATTTGAGGTTTTTCCTTATGGTTCTTTAGTCCTTCAGTTTAAAGTTTCCTTTTTCTTTTTTCATTTTTTTTTCCATTTTAACTCATATCTTATCATTTTTTTTAATTTGATTTTTTTTTAATTTTTAAAATTTATTTTCAGTGTAACAGTATTCATTGTTTTTGCACCACACCCAGTGCTCCATGCAATCCATGCCCTCTCTAATACCCACCACCTGGTTCCCCCAACCTTACAAGCCCCACACCTTCAAAATCCTCAGATTGTTTTCCAGAGTCTATAGTCTCTCATGGTTCACATCCCCTTCCAATTTCCCTCAACTCCTTTCTCCTCTCTAACTCCCCTTGTCCTCCATGCTATTTGATATGCTCCACAAATAAGTGAAACCATATGATAATTGACTCTCTCTGCTTCACTTATTTCACTCAGCATAATCTCTTCCAGTCCCATCCATGTTGCTACAAAAGTTGGGTATTCATCCTTTCTGATGGAGGCATAATACTCCATAGTGTATATGGACCACATCTTCCGTATCCATTCATCTGTTGAAGGGCATCCTGGTTCCTTCCACAGTTTGGGGACCATGGCCATTGCTGCTATAAACATTGGGGTACAGATGGCCCTTCTTTTCACTCCATCTGTATCTTTGGGGTAAATACCCAGTAGTGCAATTGCAGGGTCATAGGGAAGCTCTATTTCTAATTTCTTGAGGAATGTCCACACTGTTCTCCAAAGTGGCTTCACCAAATTGCATTCCCACCAACAGTGGAAGAGGGTTCCCCTTTCTCCACATCC